GCTGAGATTGTATAAAAAAAGGGTTGTTGTTTTTTTAAATGATAATTCTGGCTTTAGCTTGTTGGCAAAAATATTCAGTGTACAAATCCAATTCAGTGTTGCATCCACCTGGGGGCATCCATGCAATATAAGGTGTTTTGTTTTTTAATGCATTTGGGATTTGGTGTGATATTTAATTGTGTGTTGTTCCAGGTGTGTTGGGTTGATGGCTGTGTGTCTGTGTTTTCTTTTTTGTTTTGAAAGTACTCCCTTTTCTCTCAAGCAACAAGAAAATGTTTCAAGGTCCCCACCAAACTGCATATTTTGTCTATATTTAGTGGGGAGAAAGGAAAGGCTTTGTCTCAGAATGGACTCTTCAGTTTGGCTGAGTGTGTGATTGCACAGATTCACAACTTTGTGGGAAGCCATTTCACCTGTAGACATTTGAAATTTGCATTCTTTTTCTTCAAGGAGGTGAGTTCTGTAGAGTAGGTTCATTGTCTTGCCCTGGTGAAGTCCTAATGTAGTTGAATTTCCAGAGTAGTGATGGCATTGGTGATTAGTTTTTGCTTGCTATAAAGGATGCCCACTGGATAGTTTTGTGGAGAAAACAGAGCATATAGATGGTCCTTGGGTTACAATTGGAACCAAAACTACCATCGCTAAGCAACAGAGTTATAAAGTGTGAAATTATGTAACTGCATCACTAAAGGCCACCAATCCTGATTTCCATCCTTAAGTGAAGACTCTGTACATTGTTAAATGAGGACTTCACATAACCACAACTTCCTGCCAGTTTCCCCATTGACTCTGCTTGTGGGAAACTGGGAACATGGGAAATCACAATCACATGATTGCAGGGATGCTGTGAGGTCAGATCTCTGAGGACCTTTGTGAATCCCATTTGTTCAGCTTTGTTGCAAGTTCAAATGGTCACTGAACAAGTGGTCATATTCCAAGGACCACCTGTAATCTTTGGCTGTAGTCTGTAGACAGTAGAAGTTTATACTTTTGATCCTTAAAGAACAAAGTCATGTTGTTTGCATTTGATTACCGTAGTACAATCATGTGTACTGTATTTGTGCCAATTTCTTGATATGTTTTATGGATGTCCACTCCATTGAGCTGACCCTGGTTTTTTTTATTGAGGAAGAAAGCTGGGTTAGTTATATTTGTTCCTAGACAATTCTAAAAGTCCAGAAATTTCAGGAAAGGGAGGATGATGTGCTAGAGTAGTTAGCAGAAATGGGGTAAAATATATGTAATCCATTTCATTTCATTCAGATGTATCAGCAATCTAAATGGCCCTTAGCTCTCAGTATCTCCCCATTCATCAGATGATTTCTCTGATGATACGAGTAGATTTGATTCAGGTAAGGAAATATTAGCAGAGCAAATAGTCACAGAAATTATTATCAGGAGGCACCTAGTTCTTAAGATTAAGGAAAATTACTTTGCACCAATCCATACAGAAGTAATAATGAAATATAACTGCTGTTCATGATTGTAAAGGGGAGAGTTTATAACTATTGCCTGCAATAACTGGTAATAAGTGCATAACTTTCTCATTTGATCTTAAATCAGCTGATGTGGACTTTTTTGTCTAGTCAATAAAACAGTGTGTTCCTTCGGCCTAGATACTGAACTAACCCATTTTCTATCTTTCTATAATACCCGGAATCATAAACTAATCCAATGGCCTGCATTCCTGCTTCACCACAAAACAACAACCAATGTTAAAACTAATCATGCTTAGCATGGTGTGTGAAGGCTATCAGATTTGACATGCTTTAGCTTGCTGTGGGAGCGCAGCCTGTGTGTCCTTTTCGTTGTTGTCCTAGTCTCAGATTGATGTTACATATATTCATTTTCATTTTTATCTGAATCTTGAACTGCGGAAAGGTTTTAGAATGTGTAACCCAACAATGTCATGTGTACGAGGAGTCATTATGTTTACTTCCAACATATGGAGACTGAAATCTGAGAAAGAGCGAATACACAATGTATTGAGAAAGGACCCCACTGTTTAAAAAAAAAAAAAAAAAAGGCTAACAGAGCAGTTCTGCTCTGGCACTGTAACTTTAAGAGCAGCTTTATTTGCAGACTTAAAATCTTCCGGACTTCTGACTCCCTGCTGCGGAAAGCTTCAGCTATTGATTTTTATTGGCCAAGCTCTTAAAGGGCAAATCCCTCTCCATCCCCACCCTTTAATCAACAGCTTTGCTTGCACTCCAGAGTTACTTTGGGTTGGGAATCCTCTGAAATGTTTCATTCTGGAGAAATTAGAATGAAATCATCAACCAATCCAGTACAAGACATTTCATTCCCACAAGGCATATTTCAGAAAGGCAGAAAGGAATGGGACCGGGCCTCATACACCAACATACATTAAGACGTAGATGCTTTTTTGAAAATGGAAAAAGCATTTTCCAGAATAGGCTCTGTGGGTGGGGGAGGGCAGTGGGCATAGTAATCCTTTTCATTACGTACCACTTCCTCTCACCCACTCCAGATCACTCCTCTATGAGCTTTCAGATATGCACCAGTGCCAGTGCACACGTTCTGTTGAGTTTAAACTGAATTATTCTGATTTGGATCATGAGGGGTCTTTTCTCTCGTACTAAATGGAGAAAGCCAGAAGAATTCTATGAAAAATCCCTGGATAGGGAAAAAGGAGGCTTGGGCCGAGTATGTGCTTGCGTTGCATAGATTTTTCCCTTGGCGTGCTATCAAATGGCTGCCTTTTGATTAGTGCTGCGCCCTTTCCTGAAACACATTTGAGCAGTGTGTTTTTAATCCTCTCAAGAGTTTAGCTACACATTCAGAATGGGACATTGGTGACTTGTAGATTCCAGAAACGCTAGAAACAGTTGTGGCTTTTGAGAACACAGATGCGTGATTGAAATGAAAAGGGCCTGCTTATAAGTGCATTTCATTTTTCTTGATAGAGAAACTGATAGAGCTGTCTGGCGCTCTAGCACAAGTACATTCTGTGTTCTTCCCTACCCTACCCCCCCCCCCCAGGTCTGGCAACCCATTTTAGTCTAGCTTTCATGCTAACTGGGATCAGATTTGGCAAAGCAATTTAACCCTTGTGCATTTATTACTTTATGCATAAGCATTAAAACAGGCTCTTGTATGCAGACTGTCTGAGTTACGGTTCCTACGTATATTATGGAACGTATAGAAACCCAGTGCTTTCCAGAGGCCTTTGTCTGTAGTTCTCATGTGTGCCAGCTAGCATGTCCAGCTGTCAACATCCAAGTAATTCTAGTCATCTATGCTGCAACCCCAATGTTCTGTAATGATTCAACCTTGAAAGAATATTAAAAAAATTGGGCACCCTTTTAATCTTGTCTCTTTGTCCTACATGACTTAATGTGCTTACCTCAAACCTTAAGCTCATACCAAATCAGGTAACTGCTTTAAGGGCTGTGCAAATCCTGTAAAAGAACTGCAAGGGAGCCTCTCGTGCATACAAAGCACCTCTTGGCAAATTGTTCTTTGCAAGGTTGTCACGCCTGCTTTGGGAGCTGCTTCCGGCTGTCTTACATGTGCGTGCATGCAGAGCCACACCACTCCACTTTCTTCCCAGCTCCTACACATTGTGAATCACAGCTTTGAAGCATTGTACATCATATTGTCTTTTCTCGGAAAATTGTCCCTAGAGCCATTGTAATCCTGCATGGTGATGCACCACCCCCTTCTGATTACCTATGCTGCACTTTCCTTCCTAAGACACCAGGTGGGCTCCTGGGCAGATGCAGTCCCAGATGCAACAGTCCATTCTGATGCAAGCCATCTTCAATATAGCACACATGATAAAGTCTGGCCTAACCTTCCCATGTTTTATTTTATTTATTTACTTATCCTATTTCTATACCACCCATTACACTTACATGCCTCTTATTTGTAGTTTACAAATAAAATCAGATGCTCATATAAAACAACATAATTAAAAATGTTAGAAACAGAATTAAAACAAAATTGAAGAGTTGAAGAGCTACTAAAAAGGCAGAGGGAGAGCCTTTATGCATTCCTGAGAGAGGAGAGAAAATGCAGGTTTTGTGTTCAATGCCTGCAAAAGGAACTTGAACCCTGGCTAGCTCTGTGGATACAGAAGGGTCTATAACAGGACAGAAGGACACACACACCCTCCACACAGTGGTTAATTTGATGCCTTGCAAGAATCTTCCCAAGTTTTGTTTGCACAACCTAGATTGGGAACAATCAAACAACTTAATAAATAAGCACTGTGGTCCTGTATCTGTTTCCTCAGAGGTAACCCCCATCTTACGCCCAGGAAAGCATGGATCAGCTCGCAGATTATGGTGACCGTAAGTGAACCTGTATAGATTCAATCCTCCTAAGTGCATAATATGTGCTGCATAAATTGCTACTTTGAGATAGTCAGACCAGCTCTTCCAGAGAAATGCTGCAAAGATAGTTTTGCAATTTCCTTTTGAGCTGTTGTGTGTGTGTGTGTGTGTGTGTGTGTGTGTGTGTGTTTGTGTGTGATTTCCCATTCTTTGGTTCTGGAATTTCCCCTTCTCTCATCAGATAGCAACAAAGTGTTGCACCTTGCAGCTTCCACCCTCGCCTCCAAACTGCTCCAAATTGTGCTGCTTCCCCACTCGGTAGCCAGTTGGGGTTTCACACAATTTTTGTTCCCTACTGTGGAGGGAAGAACAAAAAAAAGAGAATGGGTGCCGGCAAGCTGCCATTTTAGCTCTTCCTCTGTTGGCCAGCTGGAAGAAGTGCTGGCCAGCTCAAAAGGTGGTGGAGGAAGATGGCAGTAATTGCTCACGGCACACAAAGCCCTGGTGAATGAAGGGCGAAAGCTGTGTAGACATAGCTTAATGTTCTGTATCATGACTGATTCTGTCAAGTTATAATGTAAACAGTTTTGTGGTCAGAGGAAGCAGAAGAGGTAATGACCAGCTTCCTGCTAAGATTGGTTTACTCGGTTTGTAGCCAGTGAGTCCTTTTGAATGTGCAGCCATACAGAGGCCAAAACATTGTCAAGGTAGGAACACTCCTTGGTGGCAGAGAACCAAGAATGACATTCCTCTCATTCTCCTGCCGTTCTAATCCTTTGGGCCAGATTTCCATTGCAAGATGGCAATCCAGATGGGACACCAAGTCCCGTTTGTCTTCGCGGCATGCTTGGAAAAACCGCCCACAGGGTGAGTATCAATTACAGAATTCACTTGGTTGCCTTAAGCCTTAACAAGAGTCTGTTACACTAAACTGTAGCTGTGCTGCTCAGGTAACCTATACCTGCCTTCAGAGAGAAAACCAGCCAGTTCCAGGCAATTGTAAATGGAGCCGCTGCAGAAAATGGATGCTCTCAAGCATGAAAAAATTATTAGGCAACCAATCCGCTGGACCTATTTTCAGCAACAATATCTGCCACTTGGTATCAACTGAAACTTGAACTACTCCTTCAAGGAGAAATCAGAATCCAAGCCAGCCTCCCACTACCTAATATTATTGAGACTGTTGTTCCCCTGCTAGCTGAGGAGGATAGGCTTTGCACTCTAATGCAGCTGACAAATGCCGAGTTTGCTTAGTTTGTATGACTGCATAGGAGTTTATACCAGGCATCTTATATTACTGCCTTCCTTGTCATATTGCAAGTCTGCAAGTCTATTAATGCCATATTTTTGAGGTGGGGGGGGGGGAAGAGCTGTTCCAGCAAAACACTCAAAATGCTCACTTCGATTTTCATCCAAACAGGGTTTACATAGGACAGACAGAACATGTCCTGTATTTTACAAAGAACATATGTTTCCGTTTGAATAAGCACTTAATTAAATATGCAAAATTGTATAGATCTGGAAATGGAAGATTCTAGAGCAGCGGCGCCCAACCTTTTCTATACCCCGCACCCCTAGAATGCTTCAGATATATTCTTGCACCCCTTATAAAAGTTCAAAATAACGAATTATGCATATACACTATAATTTCAAAACTTCTAAATCCAAGTTTTCACACCCCCTGGAATATCTCGCACCTCCATTTGGGAACCCCTATTCTAGAAAATGTTACATTTTCCTTCAGACTGTCCCATTTGGGGGAGGTTTGGTGGTTTCCAGAAGTTAATCTTCTGAACTGGAAGCAGTTTTGAAATGTTTCAAGGTCATGCAACCTCCAGATACACTTGTTTGCTGATAAACAATAAATTCAAAAGTTCTCAGACTGCTTCTAATTCCAGAAGTAACTTGCTTGTGGAAACTATCAACCTGGCACGTTCAGAGTGGAAGTCTGACATTTTCTGAGAGAAGCAAAATGCTCTGGAGCATTCTCAAGAATGTACTGTTTATTTTCAGATTAGTAAGTGTTGCACATCCAAAATAAACCTTCTTTTTAAGCTGAGTTTAGCGAATTGGAAGTTAAGAATTTAGTAATCTCAGAATGCAAATGGTGAATGCAGTGCTTTTAAAACTGATAACGTTATTGTGGATTTAAAAATGCTAATTCCTCAGACCATCTTTGGCACAAATATTTCATGTCCAGCCTGAGATGGGACAGAAACAGAAAAGGTGCAACTACATAAGTCACCTTGTGGAGACCTGATGAAATTATTTAATTATTATTTAAATTTATTACGTGCAATATATGTGTAGAACATGAAATCCACCCACAGAAGCAAGTCTACAGATGGATTAAGAAAAGTAATAATTTGTCAGTATTGATGTTAACAGTTGGCTCACGGAAACCACAGCAGTAGAATTGTAAATGGTACTTCACAGTTAAAGAACAGAAAAAAGAGGGAGGGAGGGAGGGAGGGAGGGAAGGAAGGAAGGAAGGAAGGAAGGAAGGGGAAAAGGGGATGGAAGGAGTGGGGAGGGGAGCAGAGGGGGAAGGAAGGAGGTATTTATATTTGGACTTTATTGATCTCATATTTATACAACCAAGAATCGCATCATAAAATAAAAGCATCCATAAGAATGGATAAGAATCTCAAAATAGATTAAAAAGAGATACAGAAGCAAAAGGAAACAGGAAGGGCCAGAAGATATGCCCTGGCAATCCTCACTTCCCATCCGAGCATCTTCTCCTCCTTCTCTGCTGTGGAACTCATCCTGAGGGAACAGATAACAGCATTTCTAAAGCCCAGGAGGGTCAGCAGGCCAAATTCTCCAGGAAAAAAAAGAGTTCCAAACTATGAGAGCAGCTACTGAAAAATGCCTGTTTCTGAGGCCCTATGAGATGCCTGTCACGTAAGGCTGGACCTGGAAGAAGCTGGCCCCTTTTGATCTGGTCAGCAGGCAGAGGAATACAGGAGAACATTGCCCCTTAGATAACAAGGCTGGAGCCATGCAAGGCCTTAAAGCTGACAACCAGCAGCTTGAATTGTACCTAGAAACCAACTGCGGTCATTGCAGCTTCCTCTGCACTGAAATGGTTCAGTATACCAATATATATATACCCATCTCTGCAGAGGAAGCTTTGTTTTATACTAGCTGTAGCTTCCAAATGTTCTTCAAGGGCAGCCCTGTATATAGGACATGACAGTATTATCTAAACAGAAGTTACCTGTGGTGCAAGGTCTGTGTAGGACTTCCTGAACCAGAATCGGCACATTGAAGCTATCTATGCAATAGCCTGCTAAGCTTCAGCTCTGACCATTGAGCAGGAGCTGTGAGTCCTAGGGGGTCCCCCCAAATTGGGAACCCTCATACCTCAGTACCATGTTTTCACACCAGAGGTAATAAGCACAATGAGAGCAAAGGCCAAGGGGTAACTATTGCTGTAATAAAAACGGAAACTCCACACCACTGTAAAGGTTGCAATTTTGCAGTTATTCCTGGGATTGATCTACCATAAGATTTCATATACGAATAGTTCAAATTCCAAAACATTTCCAAAGGCCATTTTGCAATGAAACAATAGTAAATGGAGAGTTAATGAACCAACTGAGGACAGAAAGATCAACAGAACGGTAACTTGAGCGTACATAGAAAATAGTTGGAAAATTATTGAGTGATAAATATCAGAGCTGTGTTTTAACCAGTGCTTTTTTTGTATATATATAAAAAAGGTGCCAGAACTCACACACATCATACAATCCGCCTTGCCTACCCTACAAGGTTCCATCCCAAAAAGGTGCCGGAACTCTGTTCTAGGCATTCTATGACAAAACAAAAAGCCCTGGTTTTAACAGAAAGGCTTGATAGTTGAAATATTCCCATTAGGTATCAGAAATTCTTAATACATAACTGTAGATATGTTGCTCAGATATCCTAAGCAATAATAACAATATGACTACAATTTTCTGAATGTTTATTGCTCTGTTCTACAAACAGGCATGAAAGTCATAGAAATGTAATTTCACAATACTGTGAATTGTACCAGTACACATCAATTAAACATCAGTTACACTTCTACAAAATTATCATGAATCAACTGTGCACCTGTTGAATAGTTGACTGTGTAAATTCTATAATTATGGAAATTGCCTAGAATAATGAGAATTAAATCAATATCAGGTAGAAGTATAAGATAGATATTTCTAGGAGTTGAAATTCTGGCTGCAAAATTATTGTCCTGGGTGGAATTTTGCCCTGCAGACTTAGTTTCCTTAGAGGCATCTCTCTGAGGTGATAAGCTAGTTGTATCGCTTCTGTCTTTCCCTAGATGTCCCTCCCCAGACTAAGCTGGACCTGAAATATCAGTACAGGCTGTGACTGGAAGGCATGTCACTTCTAAATCCCTAAGAGCAGATGAGTAAAATATTTATAGCTTATGTTGAAGAATTCATGATAATTTCCAATTTTGTGCTTTTGAAGCACAAGAAAATATTGGAGTGGGTTTCATATTATAATTTTAAATTGAGGAGGGTTTTTTATTGTGGAAATTATTCATATTTATATTATGGACATAAATTATACTATCATTTCTAGGCAATATAAAATTATCATTGTTAGTCCCAGCGAATAGAGTATAGACCATAATAGGAAGGTGCAGAGATCCAGTGAGCTTGCACAGTCATATATGTAGCATCTATCAGAAGTACCCTAAACCAGACAGGTCTCTTCCAAGAATTAGTGCATCAGTTGCAAAGGGCAGCTGTGCCAATCCAGGAAACGTTCCTACTGCTTTAACACACTTCCCCTGACAGGTGCTCTATGTCGGAATGGGACAACGCGCCATGACCAACTCGCCGTGGGACAATTCAACAATTCAATTATTTAAAATAATTTTAAAAAAATATTTTAATGTTTGTGATTCATACTTTGTTTTGTCCCTCCTTTGGCATCCTCTCTTTAATAATTCTATTCCACCATTACTTTGATATTAGTGTAACTCTTGTCCTACAAAGAGTGGTCCCATGGTGAGTTGGCCATGGCGAGTTGTCCCATAGTGAGTTAGCTACAGTGAGTTATCCTAGACCCGCTATATGTGTGCCCCCCCAAGTGTTTTTAATCACTTTGGCCTAGAATGCAGAAGTCTGTACAGCTTTAAAGCATACGTAATAATAAGGACTTAATTTCTTACTCTGCAGACTTGGGCGTAAGCTCCTATAAGTACCACATATTTAGTATAACATAGATCCCATTATCCACCCACCCATCTACCTGCTATCCATATTTTTAAAATAAAACCTGGAAGAAGGTTGAGGAAGGGGCAAATGAAGGAATGGGGAGGCTGTTCTGCAAGCAGCTTGGAAGCACTTGCTTGGGAAGAGTAATGCAGTCAATCCTCATTATGCTAGGATTCCGTATTTGTGAATTTGCCTAATGGCTAACATTTATTTGTAATCCTCAAATCAATAAAAGTAGTCCTCGACTTAACAAGCATTCATTTAATGACTGTTCGAAGTTATAATGGCACTGAAAAAAGTGATGTATAAGCAGTGCTTTTTTTTGTAAAAAAAAAAAAAAAAGTGCCGTAACTCACACATGTCATACCCTATTCTATAAGGTTCCATCCAAAAAAGGTGCCGGAACTCCGTTCTGGGCATTCTATGACAAAAAAAGCCCTGTGTATAACCGTTTTTTCACATGACCATTGCAGCATCCCCAAGGTCACATGATCAAAATTCAGATGCTTGTCAACTGGCTATGTATTTATGATGGATGAAGTGTCCTGAGGTCATGTGATCATCTTTCACAATCTTCTGACAAGCAAAGTCAATGGGGAAGCCAGATTCATTTAACAATTGTGTTACTAACACGTT